GTTGAATTCCTCTACTATGTCTCCCATTAATTCCTCCCCAAATCTAATCAGCAATTCTTCTTTGAATTCAGCCCAGCTTACTTCACCTTTATTTAGTACTAAGGAGTCATACCAAATATCTGACAATCCATTCAAATAGAGAGCAGTTGCTTCCACCTTCAAGTTATCTGGAGTTCTATACAAATTGAAGTACCTCTCACACTTCTTAATCCATTCTTTAGGCTCATGACCTTCAAAGTAAGGTAGCTCCCATTTAGGCGCAGGAGCTTGTACTGCTGGAGGTCGATGCTTCCTTCACTACAAGAAAAAGCCTTCTCAGCGACCAACATTTAGGGACGAATTAATAATCTGTGATGACCCAAAATGTCATATTTAAATTAAATAACCATCTCGGTATTTTTAAGACCTTGAAAAGCGGTATCAATAATTCTTCGACTTGCGTGCGCAGTCCGTATAATTTTCCGGAAGGTTTTTATGTGAAAAATGGACTAAATTGTGAACTAGAGCTTTAAAACTCAACTAAGTTGACTTTGGTCAACATTTTGAGCAAACGAACCCGGATAAAAGTTTTGACCATTCCGGTAGTTCTGTATCGTGCTTTGGGACTTGGTCATATGCCCGAAAGCAAATCTGGAGGTCCCCAGATCAAATTATCGCCATTTAACAGAATCTAGAAATCTAAGGCTAAAGATTTCTTAAGTTTGACCAGAGAGTTGACTTTTTGATATCGGGGTCGGAATCTAGTTCTAAAAATTTTTATAGCTTCGTTATGTCATTTTATGACTTGTGTGCAAAATTTGAAGTCAATCGGACTTGATTTGATAGGTTTTTGCATCAAATATAGAAGTTGGACGTTTTTAGTTTCATTAGGCTTGAATTGGGATGTGATTCACGATTTTTGCATTATTTGATGCGATTTGAGGTTTCGACTAAGTCCGCATCATGTTTTAGGACTTGTTGGTGTATTTTGTTGAAGTCCCGAGGGCCTCGGGTGGATTTCGGAAGGTCAACGGGCAGAAAAAGCTGCTGAAATTCTCTTTGGGAAGCTGCTGTTTTTTTACAGTACCGTGAACAGTACCCCATGAACGGTACCGTGAACAGTACCCTATGAATATTACCCCCCGTGTACAGTACCATGTACAGCACCCCGTGAACAGTACCCGAACGCGCGAACAGTGCCCCCGACATTTTCTGGACAGATTCTTAATTTCTGAAAATGGGACTTTTCCATTTTTGTCAAATTGGAGCTCAGGAAGAGGCGATTTTCGGGATATTTTCATAGAAAACAACGGGGTAAGTGTTCTTAACTTAATTTTGGTTAGATTACCCGAATCTATTACTAGTTTTGATACTAAATCTGTGAATTTAGTTGGAAGAGTTTGAAAACTCTCTCGGATAGATTTGAGGATTTGAGGGTCGAAATGTTATCGAAATTTAGTAATTTTGGTATGGTTAGACTCGTGGTTGGATGAGGTTTCATATTC